TCACACCAGCTTGGTTAGTTTGACCAACCCCTCAATCACGATTTACTGGAATCGCTATTCTAACTCAAACTTATCCCAAGCTCCCTCATGGACTCGGATCATTTTTTCTTCTCTTCTGGTCGGTTGATTTCACTCGATTCTAGTCACGGAATACCCTTCAGTCCATGCGATATTTCTTACGGTCCGCCATACTTATTTGGTAGCACGTAAACTGTGTTATCACCATGTCGACCGCCTAGGCTCTGATTCGCATTCATGCATATAGCAGACATGGTAATGTGGCATGCTGCACTATCACGGTTCGAGTCCCGTCGGTGGCGCTGATGAGACCCGTTCAGGCGAGGGTGAAACAGTAGTCCTCTCCTGCCTGTCTGAGAATGCCTATGGGAAAAGCAAGGTCTATCATTAGTATTTTGGCAAAATTCAACAGCCATTCCCCTCATCCTATTAAACGAAATGGGGTGAATATATCTCTTATCTGTGACTGGTTGGTAGACTCGAAAATCTGCTATACATGTGAAAGTCTATCTCTGTTGCCTTGCTATAGTTGATTGGATTTGGGGTCAATTTGGCTCCGATCTATCAGCCATAATGTCGAATTCTTATGGCGGTTGTGATTGTCAGTCTCCCCATTCCCGTAAGCGCAAGGCCACAAACAGTGTAATCGAAGATATGAAGACCAAGATGGTGTTTCCTACAGTATTTTCGCGGTTGTATTTCGTCATATAGAAGTCGTTTGACCTTGCTTTCGCAACTTGTTCGTGCTGACAACATGACCTAGAGCAACGCGCTTTTTCCGGAGTCTAAAGTATGCGTGACCATTTCAAGTGTCGGACCGTGGACTTAAGAATGTGTAAAGTCCACGGTCCCAAACTGGAAATTATTACTCACACTTTAGACTCCGAACAAGACGCGTTGCTCAAGGCCCTCCTGTCAACACGACCAAGTTGTGAAAACACGGTAAAACAACTCAACAAAGTGGGTTGACCTCGTAGTCGCAACTTGGTCTTGTTGTCAGGGTGACTCAAACGTTTGAGAATGTACCAAGTCCACTACTATGGCAGACGACTTCGGACTAGGTGCGTTTTACTAGGTCGCCCTGACTACAACAAGACCAAGTTGTGACAACGAGATCAACCCACTTCTATATATCAAAAGGTGACTGCGACCATACCAGAGGTCACAACATCTTGGTCTTCATATCTTCAACTCACCAAAGTTGACATCAAAAACCTAAGAATCACCGGGTCTGACCAGTTTTTACATGAACTTTTATTATTAAGGTAAAGTTAATTGGAAGCGGTTGGCGAATACATCTCATCGCAAACCAAGGAAGATTGCTTTAGGAGTGAGGACTGTTGGATTGTACAGAAAAGTCATCAGCTCACTGTAGCCCGACTTACATAAACCGGTGCTAAGCTTCTCATTTCATCTCTTATGTCATAGATATCGTAAGTTCGAGAAGGCATAGTTTACGAAAACCCACACTATTATAATAAAGTCACAGTAGTACATAACAGACGTAATCTCAACAGAGACTCTTCGAAGTAGCGAGACGGTGAGAAGGGCTTCTTGGCACAATCCAACAGTCTGTCCTCCATACCAAGCCTAGTTTGGCTTCGAGGAGGACAAATTTGCGAAATTTTTCTAGCCAACTTATCCTTCAAACCTAAAATTAATGTCACAATGAATCCAGCATCTTCACCAAAAATGAGGCCCTTGTTCGAGATGCTTGAAGTCGAGGTCGGCTGTGAAGCTCGGTGCATGAAGGGACTAGCAACCAGCAGCTTTAGACGCCCTTTTGAGGCTGTCTCAGTCCGTGTCGATCTCATTACAACTGAACTTTCTTGGCTGCAATCGTCGGCAAAGCGCGAGCAGGAATGTAATTATAGTGGCCTTTCAAATGGCAATCTTTCACGTGCACTGCACACAAAAACGTGATAAGGCAGATACAGAAAACTCAAGGCATCCCTGGTCCTTCAAGGCTAGGAGGGCGAAAATTGAAATGTTTACAAAATAGACTCAAGAAGCATCAGTACCGCATTAAAATTCAAACGGCCGTGCCTCCCGAAAGGTAATATCAATCAGGCGGAAATGTATGGTGACTCAAACTATGTTAGAGAATCTAATAAGTCAAGAATTAAAAGGTTGACGATAGGTCTTTGATACAGATCACGTCGTATCTTTATTTTCTCCCAGTTTGCTTAAGCAATAATCTTTCAATCTCCTATTCATCCAGTTTCTTTCTGCACAGATGCCAATGGCGTTCCTAATCCTTCATGTCCTTGTGTCTTCACGATATGAGGCCCGTTTTTCTGCCGCCTTCGAGTGATCTCTGGTCTAATCTGTGCACCAGGATTGCGCTATTTTTTTATTCTTCGGGAGTGAGAGAGATACGAGGATAGGAAGTAGGCATAACTACTAGGACAAAAGGACGAGGGATAAAAAGCACAACTGTGAGACAGAAAGTTGCTCAAGGGATTGACTAGACCTGTCTCTAACACGTAGTTGCTTGGTTCCTAAAACGGCCAAAGCAGAGGCCTCAACATCTTGGTATTCATATCTATACATGTCTTTTACAGTTTTTTTAAGACTACCCATCTCACGTCTTCCGAACATTGCAATGCAATATCGCGGGCACAATTAGGCATGTTCTTTGCTTCTCTTCTAACAGAGTAATAATCCTGAGACAAATTCTTGATTCAAGAATGTCCTTTCGGTCTTGGTTAAGGTATCAGCAATGTAAGACCAGAATGAAGTCAGTTGTTGGCAGGACGATGCAAATTTCAGGGACTAAGAATTGGTAAATGTAGTCAAATGCATTGTTTTTGCATGCAAATAAGTGATAGCTCAAATATGGGTTAAGAAAATTAGACCAAAGA